CTCTCTCTCTCTCTCTCTCTCTCTCTCTCTCTCTCTCTCTCTCTCTCCTTTTTCCTTCCTGCCACAGAGCGATTTTGCCTCGGCTTGGAGCACCAACCACCACCTGGCCTGCATCTTCGATTTCTCGCTGGATGAAATCCAGAGTCTAAAAAGGTAACACCTTGCAAGCTGGACTTGGCCTTGAGTGCTAAGGGAGGATTTCTGGCCCTGTAGATAAAAAGTCTCCTTTGTGAGGTGCTCTCTGAGTTTGGTTGTTTTCTTGCAGGTGTTTCATTACCCAGCTAGGTAACATTATCAATGCTAGAAAGGGGTGGGGTTTGGGGGGAGGAGGACAATGATTTTCCTGTTTGGATTGCGGGGTCCTTGATTCTCTGAGCTTGGTTGTTTTCTTGCAGACATTTAATTACTGTTCTTTCTCCCTCTTTTCCAGCGCAAGTTCGGGCCACGGGTTCCTCTCCGATGTAGACTCCACCGACGCCGCCAGCACCTCGGGCTCAGCCTCGACGAGTTTTTCCTTTGAATCGAGGTGACCCTGGTCCTTTGTCAATTGAAAAGGCTTCTCTTTTTAAACGGTGCTTCGGCCCCTGAAAGTTAGTCCTCACCTCTCCATTCCAGTTGAGACGCACCCAATATCACGACCCTTTTGCCAGCGTTGTCAAAGGTTGCATCTGAGTCACGAAAAATGCCCTGCCACTTTACCACATTAGGAACGATAGTTCTGATTGACCAACAATGTGTTGGGCACACCAGGGAGCGGTTCTGTGGAGAAAGGTTTTTCCGCGGACCGAAGGGGGCGAGGTTTTGCCTGCGGCCTTCATCCCGCAAGTGGAGTTCACTGGTTTGCGCAGTCTGGCTGCTGACTAGTCTGACCCAGCTTCCCAAACACGACCAACCCTCTGCACTCGGTGACCGAGTGACTCTCCTCTCCTCTGCCTTTTGCGCATCTGCACGTCAGGCACTGGACCCAGCTGGCCTCCTCTTCCTCATCAGCCACCTCCAGACCTGGGGGCATGCTGTGGACCGGGGGTTGGGGGATCCTTGCCTTACGCCAGAGCCCTAAGAACCCCCTGTTTTCTTACTATCTTTCAGCAGGACAAATGTCGGGAGCCGGAAGCGCAAACTGTCGGCTAAAACCTATGCCCCATTCGATGCCAAACAGAAATGCTCCGAGCGCCTCCGCAGGCTTGTCCCTGGCTGCTCCGTGGATGGCAGTGACCGGGCCAGCAGTCCAGATCGCCCGGAGAACGCCATCGACTGCCAGACCTTGGAGAGCTTGAGCGAGGACGATTTATCCCTCTCTCACCTCCAGTCATCCATCAGCAGCTATTTCGGAGCCACCGGCCGCTTTATTTGCGGAGAGAAACACCAAGTGTTGGCTCGGAGGATCAGCCCAGAAGGAAAAGTAGAGTATCTCGTGGAGTGGGAGGGCAGCACGCCCTACTGATGCGTGTTGGGGTCCGGCATGGGAAGCCATGTGAAGAGAGGAACAGGGTGGGAATGCAGCCAGGGAAGAAGAGGTTGCCCTGAACTTCCTTGGGGATTGAAGACCAAATTTCCAACGGTCCCTGTGGCTTAGGGATCCATGATGGCTCAGCCTTAGCTCCCTGTGGGCATTCGGGACAAAAAGGGGAATGAATTCCCAGGACAGCCCCATAGAAATGACATCACTTGGACAAGATTGGCTCCATCTAACATGGCACTTATTTTGTTCCCCCCCCCCCCAAAAGGATAAAGGATAGCGAGAGATCAGACACTGCTAGGATCCAGGAGGGGGTTAAATGGATAACCCTGCGTAGCAGGTGGGATGAACAGAGAGTTGGAAAGCAAGCTGACAGGATGGCTGGTGGTGGAATGCCTGGAAGGATAAACCCAAAGGGCGGGATTTAGGGACACCTCCAAGCTCCTGGGGGCACCCCCGCAATCCCTGAGTTGGCAGATTTAACGTGACAGGAGGGGGGAGATTAGCAAATGCACTAAAGACGCACACATCTGGATTCTCTTCAAGTTAATTAGAAGTTAATGGTTGGTGGGTGTCCCCTTTGGCTCGATGGTTTGCAATTTTTTTGACTGGCGTGGATGAAAGCTGAAAATTCAGTCATAACTTCAGCCAGGATGGTCCATTTATGACGAATGTCTCAAAAGGAGGCAGTTCCCAGCCTAGAAAAAGCACAAACCTGGCCGTGGCATTTTACTTTGCCAGGATTCCCTTTTTTCTCTTCTACGAGTGCTTCTCTCCATATCCCCCAAGGAAAAGATTTGTAAAGCAATTCTGAATCTAATTGTATTTGCCTGCTCCTGTTTGCACAGATTAACTTGAGGCCCCAGCAGACAAGAGAGGGCCTCTCAAAATATATATTCTTCCCCCCCCATCCCCCCAAGGATGTGTTTGTATTTTAAAATATTATAATAATTATTTTTGCATTGGTCTGGACTGATCTTGTAAACGCTTCTATGCACCTTCAGCGAGTCAGGGCTGCTGCTTTTTTAATGAGTGGCCTTTTGTGTGTTCTATTCAAATGAATGTGTCAGAGGTACAATTATTATTAAAAAAAAAAAGAATATTGGTAACTTGGCCATATCTTCGTCTTGCTAGCACTGCGTGAGAGGGTATACAGCGGCTGTTGGGAAGTTGAATGCTTGATGGACGTGGGGAAGCTCTAAAAGAAGGGAAGGGGGCACTGAGTTGGGGCAATGATCTGGCTGATAAATTCTGAGATTTTAAAAGGATCTGGAGCTGAAGAAATAACCTTAAGGAGCGGTGGATCCCACAATCGCAACACTTGGAGAAAGGAAGAAAACAAAGTTGCACAGAACAGGAGAAAATTAAAACAGATGTGCAAAACAAATCATTTTAGCCTATCTAAATTCATATCTATATCTGAATATATGGTGACTTCATAGATATCCATCCACGCTGGGTTTGAGGGCAATAGTATAGAAGCTACAGAAGTGGTTTGCTATTGTTTTCTTCTCTCTCTCTCTTATAATTATCTATCTATATATCCATTATCTTATATATATCTAATCTTTTTCTCTCATCTAATTATCTAATATCCCTATATCATGTAATCTCTCTCTCTCATCTACCTACTTCGCCACCCATTTATCTATCTATCATGTATATCATCTATCCAAACCCATCCACCCATCTTGTCCCAAACGATACGCATCCATCAATAGGGTGAGATGGATTTCCTTGTGGTTTCCCACCCAAGTTCTCATCGGGCTCAATGATCGAAGAGAAAGTTCCATAAAAGTTCTGTTCTTTGAAGCATGAGAGCCTGTTAAGGGAAATGCATTTTGCTGCAAGAATTACAAGAGTCTGTATAGAATGTTAAGGAAAAAAAAGACTCTTGAGATTCAAATGCTTCTGGCTCGTTACTCGTTAGCAGGAGTGGTGGCAGGAGGGGAGGAAACAACACTTTAGGCATGCTCAGAGGCACTCTTTATTATTGCATTTTATATACCCCTGGCTTGCACTTCGATTGCCTAAACAGAGACCAAGGGGGCTGATACTGGATCAAGTGTCCCGCCTGCCCGACTTGTCCATCCAATCAGCAACCGGAGTGTCTGCGTGACCGCCGCCGCCACAAAGGGCGTCACCGCGCCTGCGCAGGTTGCGGACCCGAAAGGGGCCCTCCTTTCCCCGCCGAATTCTCGCGAGACGTTCCCCCTCCTCTCTGTCCAAGATGGCGGTGGGGGAGGTGGACGCTGCGCTGGAGCTGCTGAGGCGGGTCGCTGCGCTGGAAGAGCCGCTGGAGGAGCTGCGGGCCCTGCGGGCGGCCGTGCAGGCTCTGCCCCCCGGCGCCCTCCGCGAAAGAGGGCCTGGCTACCCTTTAGCCGGGCTCTTCGTCCTCATGGCCCGCGGGGATACGTAAGAGAGAATTGGGTTCCCTTACATCAAGGCGCTAGTCCTCATGGAGGAACTGGGGCCGTGCTGGGGCGCTGTGAGGTTGGGTGGTCCAAGGGGCGAATGTCAAGATCAGAGGCTGACAGGTGCATGCATATTTGGGGGTGCATGTGTATAAGCATAATCTACCCATATACACACACATTGCTACCCACGGACAGTATGTACATTTATAAATACCAATATGTGACATGTATACATGTATATGTGCGTGTAGACATATTTGTATTGTGTGTATGTATGCATATATGTGTGTGTGTACATATGTACACACATATATGCATACGTATATGCATATATGTGTGTATATGTATATATGTATACATACATATATAATTTGTATATACGTATGTATGTATTTTCCCACGTCATTATAGTTGTGCTTTTAAAGTTGTAGCAACGTTTCGGCAGAATCTCATCTGCCATCATCAGGCTTCTGTATAGTGTTCGTGTATAGTGTATAATGTTCGTATGTATGTATATATTTGTATATATTTATGCACATATAACATACAAACACAAATATAAATATACGGTATATATATACCAGGAGGCAAATAATGCTTGTAGCAACAAAAATTTTCTGCACACACACACACAAATCTGTGTGTGTGTGTGTGTAGAAAATTTTTGTTGCTACAAGCATTATTTGCCTCCTGGTCTCTGGTCCCTTCCTTCTTTCTCTGCCTTTCTTCAAAACGTTCCTTTATAAAATGTGGAAACTCTTGAAATGATGGAAACGATGTTAAGGGAGGGGAACAACAGGGTGGGAAAGTGATTGGTTTGATTTTATGCTGTGTGCAGGTTATGCAGTTGCTGGTGGAGGCTTGGGCAAAGTTTTGGAAAGATTAGTCTGCCTGGAGAGTCCTTGAGGGGGTGGGTGGGAGAAGCCTTCAACCTTCATAACAACCAGGTTTTCCTTGAAAATTGGTGTCAGGAATTTTCATAACGGAGTGAGGTTGCTTGTTTTGTACCGTATTGACGCCTTTCCTTATTTCATTAGCAAACACCTGGGTTTTCCTTTCTCCTGCAAACAGTGAGCAGATCTCTTTGTGTGTGTCGATCCTGGAGCGATTCCTGCAAGTCATGGATTCCTTGGATGTGATCCGAAACTTTGGGGAGGAGCTTCAGAAGGGATTGTTCCACCCGGATGACTCGGTCAAAATCCTAACCATCTCCCAAGTACGTGTTACAGTTCAGCTTTGTAATCTTCTCAAGGAGGTTAAGGATGAGATGCTCACCCTGCCATTCTGCGCTTCTGTTTTCATGCACCTGCTGCAGGTGTTTGAAACAACACTAGAGGTGATACAGGTGGTCCTCGACTTACGGCCACAATTAAGCCCAAAATAGTTGTTGCTAATCGAGACATTTGTTAACTGAATTTTGCTCCATTTTACAACCTTTCTTGCCTCAGTTAAGTGAACCATTTGCAGTTATGTTAGCGACACGGTTGTTGAGTGAATCTGGCTTCCCCGTGTACTCTGTGTATCAGAAGGTCGCAAAAGGGGATTGCAGGACCCCGTCATAAATATGAATCAGCTGCCAAGCGTCTGAATTTTGATCATGTGAGCATGGGGATATTGCAATGGTCATAAGTCTAAAAAAACTGTCATAACTCACTTTTTTCAGTGCCTCTGTAACTGAACGGTCACTCAATGAACATGTTGTAAGTCAAGGACTACCTGTACACTGTACATTAACTTCACCTGTTTAATGTTTCAATTGCAGTTATCGCCTTAACAATTTTGGCTAGTAAGTGTAATACAAATGCTTCAAGCAATTATTTTTAAACTTTCAAGGCAGTATAGAAAAAAATAGCAGCAAGGACAGCTAAGAATGAGACTTAAAGACCAAAAAGGAAGAATGGAAGTTGGAAACTGTCCAATGACTATAAATGATGTTGTATCCCTAGGTTGGAAGAGTTGTGGAAGACCCTGTTGCTGTCAGAGAAATCCTTAACACTCCTGAATTACTGAGGCAGATTGTCTATTGCATTGCGGCCGAGAAAATAGCCGTGTCAAAAGAGGTCCGTTCTTGTGAGCTGATCTTTGTGGGGGGGAGGAAAGGCCATCTAAGCTATGGAACTTTATAAATCTCATAAATCACTTATAAATCTTGTCTGTTGGCCCAGTAGAGTGGGGTGGTGGCTTCGAAATGGAGCTCTCGCCTCACAATCAGGAGGCTGTGAATTCCATCCTGGGTAGAGGCAGATATTTCTTTCTCTGGACACACTGAGAATATATCTGCTGAAATTAACTCTGCACTGGCAACAGGAAGGGCATCTGGCCAGTTAATACTCAGCTAGATTCAGTTGTCCACCCTGCAAGGGATTATGGGGTCATCAAAGGGGGATGATCTATTGGGCCAGTCGCGCGCTCTCAGCCATGGGAAGAAGGCAATGGCAAACCCCTTCCAAAATCTTGCCAAGAACACTGCAGGGACTTACGGAGGATTAAACACAGACTCAAAGGCACACTTCCCTCCTCAAAAAGCCCCCTCTAAATTATGGGTAGCCTTGGGCTCTGGAGGACTGCATTCCCTATTTCTGTTTTTGCAACTCAAGTGTAGGTCCTTCAAGTACCCCCTGTGGGGTTCCCCCTGCTG